TGGCAGCATTCACCAACTTAAACAAGGAGACCGTCCAGAAGAGTTGCAAGAGATTCCGATGTTGTATGGAGGCCGTGGTTGAAGCCAATGGTGATGCTATTGAATAAATTTACTCTTTAGCATTTAAAGATATTTCTGTGTAATTTTGGTAAATATATCTAGACGACAATTTATCCATCGCGCCCTGTATATCTGCTAAAATCAGGTGAGTGTTATTTTCATTTTGGCGTCATTCAGACGACAATTTATCCATCGCAGCCTGCATATCTGTCAAAATGAGAGGCCAGTGTTAGTTTCAATTTTGGCGGCATCTAGACGACAATTTATCCATCGCAGCTTGCATATCTGTCAAAATGAGATGTCAGTGTGAGTTTCAATTTTGGCGTCATTCAGACGACAATTTATCCATCGCCACCCCCTCCCCCGTATAAATTTAAAAAATCTTTTTCTTTCCATTTTCCCTAATACTTCGTCGTTGCACACATTTGTGACTTGTTTTAAAATTGTATTGCTGGGTATTTTACTATAAAAAATAAATTTTTACGCTTTCATAGTGTTTATTTTTTTTTATTTATTTTTTTTTTTTGTGGAGGTGGATTTCACTATTTACCCATAGCTGGGACCCTAACAAGTGCTAGGGTCTCCACTCTCCTCACAACTTCCGGTTCAGAGGCCTTGCTGCCGGATGTAGTTTATCGTCATAACCAGTACTGGCATGATTTTTAGCCTCTTCAAAAATTTACCTGTCTATAGTGACCCCACCCCCTATGTTTTGAGTACAAAATCGATTATAAAATCGAGTATACTGCGAAATTTTATGATCAATTTTGTACACAAAACATGGGGGGGGGCACACTATACAAAAGTTATTTACAAAAAAAAAAAAAAATGATAGATTTGCGATAAATAAAATATCAAATCTATCATTTTTTTTTTTTTTTTTTTTTTAAATAGCTTTTAAACTAAGAAAAGTATTTTTCGTTGCAGAAGACACGAAAAGACATATTTCCAGTTTAATAAATTATTTTGTGTTGAAAAAAAAATAATATCAAAAATATAAAAAAATGTTATAATACCAAAAAGTTAATCTATAAATTGTACTGCATGCTGCTACTAAACATTCTCCTACTCAGTAATATTGTTATTAACGGAACTACCATTTCAAACAGCTACTACTATAGGACTATTTTCGGGACAACTGGAAGCATGTCTGCTACTTGATAATAGTGAAAACCAGTGTCAAACAGATTCAATCATTGAGTGAGATGCGAAGAGATCCCGTGCGAACGAACAAGATCTCGTTTGTGCCGAGAACGTAGTCTTAAGTGTAAGTTTTTTTCTCTTATATTTTCTTCCACAGAGGTAAAGACTGTCGTCTGTTTTTGATAATTTGTCTTTTTTTTCCCTCTTTTTTTTGATAGTTTTATTTTTCATGATAAGCAAACTTCCTAAATCTCGTCTGCAAAGAAGTGTAGACATATTTCGCTGTTTGTCTGTAGTACAACTGTACTGTGGTATAGGGAAGATTGAAGCCCACACAGACATAGAACATTAATGGTAGAATTCTTTGTCTTTCACGTGAAGCAATAGCACTTTACTACCAGCACCTCCCACAACACATTATAGGCAGTTCGGTTGGTAAAGAAAAGCTGTTCTTCACTGTTTAATGAGTTGGCACGTATTTGAAAATTGAGGTGCTATATATTTAACTTATTTTGTATTCAAGGACGAAACAGAAAACGGAATTTGTCAGCTTGTCCCCAAATATATGGCGATGCTTTTTGGAGATGTATAATTTTTTTTCTATAAAACTGTTACAGTTATTTAAAAAATTGATAATAAAATAAAATTTTTCTTTCATTTCTTTTCTATTTTTTGTGAGAAACATAACCTTCTACAACTTTTATATGTGCCTAGAACGCGGAAATATCTATACCTATCATTTCAGGAAATATATACACACGAAAAGCTAAAAGAAATAAAAAAGGATATTTTCAAGAAATGTTTATAGTAAGATACACTAATATATATATATATATATATATATATATATTACGACGGTGATGATTATATAAGCAAGGATCTTTTAACATTTGTCATCAGGTGAGGCCACCCTGTTTTTATTTTGAGGAGCTACGACTATAATAACAGTCCTTGATTCTAAACATGATTACTTGACAAGGAAGCTGTAATTTAATAATTAAAATACCATAAAAACATTAATCGTGCAGTTGTATTAAATCTAAAATAAACCATTAATTTTAATATTTTATGTAAAAAAAAAACTCAATTTAAACATTGATGACGAATTTAAAACTACAACTTCATTTATGTTTGTTTTTTTGAATATATATATTTTTATATATATATATATATATGTATATATATATATATATATGAACATATATATATATATATATCTCTCTCTCTATATATATATATATATATATTGTATACACATATTTATTACATATATATGTATATTGTATATATATATATATTGCATATACATATATGCACATATATATGTGTGTTGCATATACACACATATATAACATCTATATATATATATTGCATATATACATATATATTGCATACATATATTGCATCTACATATATATATATATATATGTATATATATATGTATATTGCATATATATATTGCATATACACATATTTATGTACATTGCATATATATATTTTCATTTAGATGTATATATATATATATATATATAATATGCATATTGTTTACATATATATTAAACATACATGTATATTGCATACATATATTACATATATATATATATATTGCATATACATATATATAATGCTTATATGTGTTGCATATACATTGCATATATATATACATTGCATATATATATATATATATATTGCATATATATGTATAAATATATTGCATATATATGCATATATATATTGCATGCACACACACGTTTATATATATATATATATATATATATATTATCCTTTTTTACAAACATGTTTTAGTCATTTGAAATTTTTATACCCTTACATTCAACTATATATATATATATATATATATATATATATCGTAAATAAAACGGAAAATTATAAAATACGTTAGCTATTAGGGTTTTTCTATCATTATCACGGGTTTAATTTATTTTTTCATGTGCCGCGTCACTTCATCGCTTATGTGATCATGGTTCTCCACCTCTTCCTCTCCCTGGTTAACCTTACCTGGTTTTTGTGTTCCCCTTTGCTAAGGCTCCTGCGTCACCTCTATCGTTCCGCCAGCCGCTCACACAAGGTCTATATAATTATAAATTGCATCTGCATTTATCCCCGTTTAAATATCCGGCATAATTTATAATTATAAAAATATACCTTAGTCTGACGATCCTTTTTTTTTATTTTATTGTATCTTTTTTTCTATAGTAAGATTTCTTGAATATTCAGGCCGGCAGACGTTAACAAATACACTGTTTAAAAATAGAGCCTCTATTCAAATATGGGTACCGATTTTTGAAATAATGTTTCAGCGATAAAATAAAAAATCTGTTGGATTAATAAATAAAAAATCCCGTTTCTTTGGATATATATATATGATAAAATAATAATTTATAATAATAATATCAATAAATAAAAAATTACCTGTTTCTTATATACACAAAAGGGATTTTTTATTTATTAATCCAACAGATTTTTTTTATTTTATGACTGAGACGTTATTTCACAAATCGGTGCCCATAGTTGAATAGAGGCTCCATATATATATATATATATATATATATATATATATAATTTCGTCCGGGGATAAGAGACTGTAAATGTCTATATACAAAATAAAATATCAGCCTCGGTTTGTTCTTTTTTTCTTTCTTTTTTTTTTTTTTTAGGGGTTAAAAAGATAGAAAAAAAAAACTTTAAAAAAAAAATACGCACTAATAATGTTTATTTGTTTATTTTTATTTACTACTACTAAATTTTACAACCGATGCTGACTTCGAGTTCATAACACAGTCGTTTTTACGGCAACAATGACGAAGGCCACTCCCGCTGATACGGCACCACAGATTATAACACAGTAGTAGTGGGTGTAGTAGTAGTAATAGTTGTAGTAGTAGTAGTAGCAGTCATTTTTACTATTCCTGCTACTACCACTGCAATTACAACTTCAGACTCTTTTGTAGGAGCGATTTCTACAAACGTCTACTAGAAAACACATTTACACGGAGACATACGTGCGTGACAATTCAGGTAAAAATATTCAGACAACTATATTATTAATAAATATATATTTATCACATATATTTATATATACCAGAGAAGAAAAAAAAAATATATATATATAAATATATGGAAATATATCGCCAATCCAGCATAGGAATTTATATGCGATTACCAACACTTATTTTTGAATGTGTGCAAACACGCACTGTTCACAAAGTCTGCAGATTTATATAGCTACGTATATATATATATATATTTATGCTTGAGAAAAATATATATGCATCAGTTTTTTAAAAAAATCTCCCTTGAAAAGACGGGAGGATAAAGAAAATTCTATAAAAAAGTACCAAAAAAGAAACAAAAAAAACAAAAACAAAACCCACACTAAGCAAATACATTGTTTATCGAAATTTAGAGAGGGCATATGTAAATAGGCGAGAAATGTAAATCGAAAAATATCTACTTTTACCCAAACCAATTTTTTGTTTGTTTGTTTTTTTTTTTTTTTTTTTACTTTTTTTTTTTGTTTTTTTTTTTTTTTTAAACAAAAAAGATAGAAAAAAAAATGTGTAATATTAATTTCTGAATATATAGATATATACCTATATATTTGCCAGGAACAAGACAACAAGGAAAAAAAAGAAAAAAAAAAAAAAGAAAAAAAATAGTCTCTTTCAATCAGGCGACAAATAATTCTCTCCCTACCCAAAAACAACAACAACAAAAAAAAAAGTCTAAATTTTTTTTTTTTTTTTCTGGGGGGGGCTTTTATGACAACGCTAGATATGTTGAGATTCGTTATTCAAAATCTTCGATCTCAAGCAATCAGCGCGTTTCAACCTCACCAACAACAGCAGTATAGTCACCAACACGGTAACGAGGTAAGCAAATTCTCCTTTGTTGTTCGTTTTTACTGTGGTTGTGACTGTATAGTCTTTTTATTTCTGTGATTAATGAATACTGAATATTTTAGCGTTTTGATGAAATCTCACCCGGTGACTGTCTCTACATTCACAAATTTCTCTCCTGTCAGTGACTAACATCACCTATCCTTGTAACTTTTTAATTCCTTGGTCAATGCCGACAGCAGGCAACGTCATTGAAAGAGACTCTGCACCCTCATCAACGTTCGTGGAATATGCGTTTTGACCTGATCGTTGCAAAAAAAAAACAAAACATATTTTTATTTATTTATTTATTTATTTATTTTTTAGATTTTTCGTTGCTAGCATTTGAGGGTTTTTTTTTTTTTCATGTTTCGGTTCAAGTTTTGCGCTTGTGGCTCGCTGTTAATCTGCTGCCATTTCTTTAGGCAGGAACGCAAAAGCTGCAGTTTCCACCATTTGCAGGCGGAAGAAGAAGAAGAAGTAGAAGAAGAAGACAAAAAAAAATAACAAATACAAACAAACGAAGAAAAAACAATTAGGCCTCTTTATGACAAAATTTCGTCTTTCTTGTCGGCATTTTGAATTTTACTGTTACTTGCTCACAAGAACATTTGCGCATATTCACAGACATTTTATATAAACATAACTAATGTGAAATCTATCTATCTATCTATCTATCTATCTATCTATCTATCTATCTCATTCTGTTCATATCTATCTATCTATCTCATTCTGTTCATATCTATCTATCTATCTCATTCTGTTCATATCTATCTATCTATCTCATTCTGTTCATATCTATCTATCTATCTTATTCTGTTCATATCTATCTATCTATCTATCTATCACAGTCTCTTCATATCTATCTCTCTATCTATCTATCTATCTATCTATCTATCTATCTATCTATTCTGTTCATATCTATCTATCTATCTCATTCTGTTCATATCTATCTATCTATCTATCTATCTATCTATCTATCTATCTTCTTATTCTGTTCATATCTATCTATCTATCTTATCTATCTATCTATCTATCTATCTATCTATCTATCTATCTATCTATCTTATTCCGTTAATTTCCATCCGTGTCTATCTCTCTCTTTCTC